GGGGACTCGCTGCTCCATATAGGACCCTCCGGGGGAAGCTCTGCCCTATAGTGGACTCACTGCTCTGTATAGGACCCCCCGGGCAGGCTCTGCGCTATAGGGGACTCGCTGCTCCATATAGGACCCCCCAGGAGAAGCTCAGCTCCATAGGGGATCCCTGTCCCCTATAGAACTCCCCAGGGGAACTCCAGCTCCGTAGGGGATCCCTGTCCCCTATAGGACCCCCCCGGGGAAGCTCTGCTCTGTAGGGGACTCACTGCTCCATATAGGACCCCCCGGGGGGAGCTCTGCCCTATAGGGGACTCGCTAGGGGAACTCCAGCTCCGTAGATTTGCTCCTGCTCGACAGGAGATCCCAGAGTGGAGTCCTTGCCCTGCAGAGCTGCTCTGGACACCCACCTGAACCCCAGGCACACCCTGCCTGTCCCCAAAGTCCCTGGGGACGTGGAACGTTCCCTGCCAGGTGAGGGATGGCTCTGCCCCATCCCTGTCCCATGCTCCTCTCCAGAGTCCCACAGGGGCTCCCACAGCCTCCCTGCCATTTGCAGCTCCCTTCATCATCGGAGGCTGAAGTAATTTCCATGGCTCTGTTCATTAGGGAAGCAGGACAGATGCTACACTGCTTTTAGCATGTTTCTCCCTCCTGCTCCAGGGGTCTGTGGCCTTTCCATCACACTTTGTGTCTGCAATTGAGCTGTTTGGCTTTAGCTCCCCCCTGGAGTGGCTCAGCTCCACGTCCCTCACACAGAGCCACTTTCTAGGCTCACTCTGCCATCCAGGACCTCTTCCCGCTCTGCTCCGCGGGACAAACGCCACGAGACAAGTGCTGCTGCTATTGTGCACTTTATTCCTCTCGTCCCTCCTCTCCCCGAGGATCCCACGGCAGTTCTTTTTGGACAGTCTGCACGTTGTTTCCAGGTACAGGTGGTGACGTTGGTGGCAGATGGAATGACCTCGGGGACAGACGGATGCCCATGCAGGACTAGAAGCAGAAAACTCCGACCGACTCCTCAGCTCCGATGGAACTCGAGTGGGATGGCTGTGAGTGGGACTGCGTGGGGATGTGCATTCCCTGTTCATTCCAGGGCTATCAGAGAGAAATCACTCCGGAATCGAATACAAGCCCATGTCCTCTCGAGGGCCAAACTACCAGTTCCCTTTACCTGCAGCACTGTGCTCACAGGTTTGGTGCAGGACCTGAGCTCTGCACGGGGAAAGGAGGGAAAACAGACAAGAAAAGCCCCAAATGGAGCAGGGAAAAGTAGGAACTAAATGAGGAGTGAGGATCTGGCTGAGCACAGCTCCCTCAGGCAGGGAGAGCCCACGGTGGGAGGTTTGGCAGCTCCTCAGCCCCTCTGAGACGAAGCAGAACGAGTGACCGGGACAGAGATGCCTCGGCACACACACACACAGCCACACACACACACAGGCTGCGACACGGTGGGTGAAACATTGACATTTATATCGAAGTAAGCACTAACAGTGAGTTCTACCAGCTGATGCATTTTTGCCAAAGCAGAATCACAACGGTTGTGTCCCGGGGAGGCTCGGGGTGTTGGGTAGGCAGCGAGGGGAGGGACAGGCCTTCCTCCTCACAGCTCCCACCCTGTCACCCTCCAGCCCAGCACCTTACAAGATTCTGTCATTTTTCACATTCTCTGTTTTCCTCTCTGCTGCAATAAACATGAAACGGGCAATGCTCACTCAGCTCCAGCCCAGCCCCATCCTGAGGGACAGCCAGAGCTGGAATCGAAGCTTTTCCACATGAGGCACTCGGTTTTCAGCACTAGGTGAGTGTGGAGGCAGAACCCCTCCTCACCCACACCACCTCACAGGTGAGCAGGGCAGTTTCCTGCCAGGCAGCGACGAGCAGAGCCGAGTCTGAGGGGAGAGGACACCGTCCTCGCGCTCCGCACAGCGCCGGGGGCAGAGAGCCACGAGCACAGAGCCAGCACAGTGTGGCACCTCAGCAAGCCAAGCCTAGCAGAGCCAGCAGAGCCTCCCCGGTGAGGCTGCCGAGGCTCAGAGCCTGCCAAACCCCCCGGTCCCCTCGGCACTCTGCCGGAGGGGCTGACTCACAGCCGGGGCTGCGCAGAGCTTTACTGGAGAGTACATTCCTGGTTAGCATCTCTTCAGCCAAATGCAGCAGCAGCAGCGGGGAGGGAAGCAGGGATGCACAGATTAACTAGCACACGGCCTTTCCTCACAAGCCTGGAGAGCTGGAAAGCCCTCAGGGAGCAGAATGGGTTGTATCCCAGCTCCCTGAGGGGGTGGGATAAAGCCCTTCCCCAGAACTCTCCACTAGAGTGAACTTTTGACTTCCACTCGCCCTTCCCCGGTTTCTCCAGCCAGCACTCCATGGAAGTGTGGGCAGCATTCCCTCAAAGCCTGCCCTGCACCACGGAGCTCCGGAGCACAGAGCCTCAGGGAGTGTGTCCCTGACCCACGATCCCTCTCCCTCGGCACTCCGCAGCTCCCTGTGCCCGACTCTGGCAAGGGAACACTTCACCTTTCCTTCATCTGTGTGTAGATCACATATACTGGAAACAAAACACACACTATGCATGCAATCCAGGCAGGAATCCTGCTATGATCAAATCTACAGGAGGAGGGGGATGAGGTGGGACGTTACGGGATTCCTCAACGCTAGGTCAGTTACACACCAGCCCCTTGGCTACAGCAAAGGGCAGACAGACTATGTACAGTACCTATGGGCTTAGCAAACCTCCTGACACCTGCACACCCCTCCCTGGGAGCACGAAGCTCTCTGTTCCTCCCGGATTTACCCGCTGGCACGCGGATCCCCTGGGAAGCACAAACCCGGCGAGGCCTGCGTGGCACCACACAGCTCCTGCAGGTAAAGCCAGGGAGGAACAGACTAGGTTTAAAATGTTATTTTTTGCAAGTTATCTATTCATCTAGGGCTCTGCCTCTCAAGTCCAAACCGTTTCTTTTGGAAGGAGAACTTCTTGGTTTTAGATGCCTCACTACAACCAGCCCCTCCTAACCACAAACCCAAATCCCAGCCCCTCAGGAGGACACCTGCCCCTCCAGCTCCCCTGCTAGAGGTGAGGAGCAGTGTCCAAGGCAGGAGAAGCTACACCTTAACTTCACTTTTTCCTCTAAGAGGCTGTAGTTGGCTCAAACTTTTGTACAAGTAAACCAGTAGCAACAAAGAAATATACACCTTGGGATCTGTAAAACCTTTGAGGGATTTGGACCCTGCAGCCAGTGGCTGTTCCTGTGGGTTTTCTTGAGAGAAAAAAAGGATGTCATAGTTGCCCTGCAGCCAGCGGCTGTTCCTGTGGGTTTGCTTGAGAGAAAAAAAGGATGTCATAGTTATACTTTAAAAAACAAGAAGAAAACAGGACAAGGACCAGCACCGCAAAGAGGCACCTCAAAGGGATGTCTGTCAGTTCCAGAGGGGCAGGGAAGCGACTGTCAGGTTACTGGAGTGTTAAAACCCTACACTGAGCAGCTGCTAGAAGCCAGAGACACCACAGGCAGCAGGAGCAGAGCAGGGGACAGAGCAGCACCCGAACAGGAGCGATCCCAGGAGAGCTGCACGGGAGGGAAGGAAGGTGCCCCGGGAACGCTGCACGGGAGGGGAGGTGCCCTGGCTAGCAGGCACGGGGAAACGAGCACGAGACAAGCGCCTGGGAGTGTGACACAAACTCAGGTAATTGTTTGCTGCTTTAAATCTCTGCATTCCAGTTTCATGCTGCTTCAGAAAGCAGTGAGGAAGCAACACGTGTCATTAAAACCCCCCAGTAAAAATAAAACCCAAACAACGAACCAAAAAACAACCCTCAACAAAGCCCTAAGAGGTGAAACCGAGTTTGGAAAAATGCATCTGTTCTGGCTTTAGCAAGTGGAATGTGATTCTTGTTCCCAGGCAAATACACAGAGCACGACGGTGCAGCCAGGGATGGTGAGCCAGGAGCGGAGCGTGGGCTGTCGGACAGGCTACGGGGGCTAGGACAACCACAGAGCAACAAGACATGGGGGCACAGAGCGACAGTCCTGTTCTTGTTTTTAAATGAGGAATGGTTTAAAAGTAAAACTCTTCTTCAGCTAATCTCCTCCTGCAATAAAACCAACCCCAGCCGGCCCTCGTGTGTACAAGACCAGTTAGACGTGAGCCTTCCCCCTCAAAACACTAAGTACGGACATCCGGTAACATTCTACAATGGAAAGTGCTTTAAGAAAGAAGGATTTCTGTAGTGCCAGTGACAGAACTGATCTGATGGGCTGGATGATGCTCTGAAGGGCTGACACCAGCGGCTCAGGCCAGGGCAGCTCGTTTCTCCTCGGGGGTCTCCTCCAGCAGCTGCATGATCAGTTCGTGGAGGGGCTTGCAGACCTTGGCGTAGCCCCCTCCCGTCAGGTGCAGGAAATCGAACATGTCGTGGTAGGAGATGGTGCCATCCGAGTGCACGAACCCGGCGTCCACGTCCAGCAGCTGCACGTTGGGCAGCTTGGGCAGAGAGGCCTTCAGCAGGTGGTTCACCTTGGCGTTCTTCTGCCGCAGGGGGTTTGGCTTCTCTCCGCGAGGTAGCAGGCCCTGGCACGAGAGGAGGCAAAACAGCTTTGTACCACCCTGATGGCATCAGGAGACCTGTTCTCCCTTCCAACGGGGGCTGCCTGTCGGGATTTAGGAAGCCCGTGACAAGAGGAACTCATCCCCTGAATGAGTTGGTCCATTCAGACCCAACATGAAACGCAGTGAAGGAGCCAGACGAGCTACGAGCACGACTGGCAAGGCGCCTGCTTTTTTTCACCTCTTAAGTACATCAGCTTGTGCTCTTCTGTTGGTCTGTTGGGATTTTTTCCTGCCACTGCCCAGCTATGCTGCTAGGACAGGAAGCCAACTGGGACTCCCAGTGCCAGCTCAGATTTGGGCACCTGTTTTCCCCCAACAGGACCTCCTCAGCGGCAGTTCTAAGCGGGATAGTCAGTGAGCCCACCCACCCCTGAAGGACCAGGAGAGCTCATGCAAAGCCAAGCCAGCAAGGGCAGGCACAGAGCAGAGGACAGATGTGAGCCCTCCCAGCACTGCCCAGTGACTCCCAGCACAGGGAGCACGGTCCCAGTCACGCACCAGTACAATCACTTTGGCCTGTGGCTGCTGAGTGTTTATCAGGCGCACGATGGCCTCGATTCCCCCTGCTACTTCTTCTGCTGTGTTTTCATGGTTATTTGTTCCAACCCAAACAACAATGACCTACAAGGAGAGAAAAAAAAGTGTTTGCAGCTGAGAGAGCTGTAACAGGCTGGTGACCCTGAAATCCCTGCACAAACACTGTCTGTGGCTGGAGAGCTGCAGGAGGAGTCAGACTGAACTCAGGCTGCAAGAGGTCTCCAGCCCTGGGGCAGGCACTGCCCACTGCTCTCAGGGAACACACGTGTGCCAGGGCTGCAACTGCAGGCGCAGGGTGGGCAGGTGCACACCTGAACAGCTTCACTAAGTCTGCAGCAAATACTTCCCCATCCCTTTCCAGAGGGCAGGAAGGCAGCTCAGGCCTGAGAGGTGACTGCACTCCAAGCTACACCTGGCACAGGTAAATCACAGAATGGTCTGGGTTGGCAGCGACCTGAAAGATCATCTTGTTCCACTCCCCTGCCACAGGCACTGACACCTTCCACCAGATCAGGTTGCTCCAAGTCCCATCCAATCTGACCTGGCACACATCCAGGGATGAGGCAGCCACAGCTGCGCTGGGCAACCTGTGCCAGTGCCTCAGAGGGACGAATTTCTTCCCAATATCTAATCTAAACCTACTCCCTCCAGAATTCCAGGTGGGATCTCCCCAGAACAGAACAGGGGGCAGAATCCCCTCCATGGCCTGCTGCCCACGTTGCTTTTGATGCAGGCCTGATCAGCATTTTCAATAGGACTACAAGGTCACCTCCATTTATTGATGACATCCTGTGACTGCAGTGCAAACCACAGGCAGGAGACACACAGCTCTGCTCCCCAACACCCCTCAATGCCTGGAGCACCCTCAGTGCCAGCAGGTGCTCACACACAGAGGTCTGCTGATCTGCCCCGAGCTCTGCCCTACCAGGCACCGGAGCCTGTCCTCAGCCAGCACAGGGCTGCCTGCTTGGGTTTGCTGCTGGTACCTTGGGTTTAATGTTCTCCAGTTCACCGTTCTTCAGTCTCCATAGAACATGCCCCGTGGTGTCTCCACCAATCCCAAAATTCAGTGCATGGAGTGGTGAGAAGAGCTCTCGCCATATCTGCAAGCAGAAATCAAAGTGCTGCGTCAGAGCTGCATCCTGACGGCGAGGGGAGGACACACCACGGTGTGCAGTGGCCTCTGAGGCCACTGAGAGCAGCCAAGAGCCCTTCCCTGAACACTCACTCCACAAAGGGCATTTGGACAGGGGAAGAGGCTTCACTCGGAGCGGGAAGAGACCGAGCTGCTGACGTTCAAGCCCTCAGGCCTGGCACAAAGGGGAAGATCTCCTGAGCAGCTATTTGCCCAGCTGATCAGAGCCCCTGAGTGCTGATCTGTTGCAGACCACGGTGTCCCTGACTGCCTCAGGCACAAGGCCTCAGCAGAAGGAATCTATGACCTGATTAAATCCTTTTCATCTTCAGGTAACAGAACTAGAACACAGGGAAGCAGTTCTTGCAGAACAAAGCTGCTCAACTGCCACCACACCTCTTCTCTCTCCTAACAGTTTTAGGGAAAAGCCAGGGGGTCAATGCCTCTGGCATCAAGTGCTGCAGGGTTAAATGCATTCTGGCCCCGGGGAGGCTGGGATCCCTGACCCAGGGGGCTGGCACGAGGCTGTGGAGGCTAGAGTCTGTGATCCAGGGAGCTGGCAAAGGGCTGTGTACATGTGCCAAAACAGAGGCAGTTGGTCATGGCTTCAGAGAAGGCCTGGAAAAGGCTCAAGGAGGTACAGCAGTGCACAGGCACTGAGGAGATCAGGAATCAGGGCAAGAATACCTTGGGAGACAGCAGTGAAATGGGAACAGAGGAACTCATCAGTGTCACACGTGATCATCAATTACTAGGTTAGAGAAAAACACTCCAATTCCTCCAACCATCCTCCCCCCTTCCTTTCTCCCTACCTCATACTGCTGTAGCAACTGCACCATGGAGTCCCCCACGAAGAGCACGTCGGGCTCCTTGTCCTTGCAGTCCAGGACAAACCGATTGTGCTGAAAGAGAGCAGCAAGGTGAGCTCTGGGTGACACTCCCTGCTGGGTATCCATCCCTGCTGCAGGGTCAGCGACACACCAGTATATCCAGGTGGGTTTGGAATGTCTCCAGAGAGGGAGACTCCACGCCCTCCCTGGGCACCTGTCCCAGTGCTCTGCCACCCTCCACGGAGAGAAGTTCTTTCTCACGGTGAGGTGGAACTTGCTGTGGTTTAGTTTATCTCCATTACTCCCTGTCCTGTCACTGGGCACCACTGAGCAGAGTCTGGCACCACCCTGACACCCCTGGGTATGGACTGATGAGCTCCCCTCTCAGGGTCTGCAGCACCGGCCCAACAGCCCCCAGGGAAGAGGAACCCAGCTCCCTGCCCCTCCCAGCCTTACCTGTGACATCCACCTGTCATCTCCCTGGATGTCCTCAGCGGCGTGAGGCACAGCTGCCGGGTTGGAGTCTCCCATTCTGTTCCTGCAGAAAGAACAGTTCACACGAGCTGATTCCAGCAGCTCCCACAGTGCCAGGGCTGGGAGAACGGCTGCCTGGCTGCTGGAATCCTTCCTGATATCCACAATTCCTGCCTGCTCCTCTGTGTGCTGCCTGATAACAACAACATGGATGTTATTCCATGCCAGAATGACTCTGCAAAGGGACATTCCCCCTGCAGCCACACACCAAGGGATACCCCGGCATGGAAAACAGCCCAGCCCAGACGGATGTGGGATGCTCTGCAGACCCACACTGGGCTCCAACACCTCAGCAACAAACACCGATGCTCTGAGGACCAGCTCCTACCAGCATCCAGAGATCCAGCTGACAGGGACTGAGCTCCACAGTCCAGGTGGATAATCTGGCTGTGGGAGCAGTGCATCCTGGCAGGATTGATCCCCAAGGATCTGCACCCAGGAAGAGCATCAGGCAGTGGGATGATGCTTCCAAGGGACCACCGGAGGGTGGGCAGGGACTGAGCCCCTCCAAACCCTGTGGGCTGACAGCAGGGCAGGGGCACATCTGTGCCCAGGTGAGCTCACACCTGCAATGCACGTGGGCATACACCTGCACACGGGTGGGCTCACACCTGCACATGGGTGGGCTGAGATCTGCATCCAAGGGGGCTCACACCTGCACACGGGTGGAAAAAAAAAAGCCTGCATCCAGGGGAAACACACTTGCACACGGGTGGGCTCAGATCTGCAGCTGGAGGGGCTCAGCCTGCATCAGGGGGCACACACCTGCACACGGGTGGGCTCAGATCTGCATCTGGAGGGGCTCAGCCTGCATCCAGGGGAAACACACCTGCACACGGGTGGGCTCACACCTGCACATGGGTGGGCTCAGATCTGCATCCAGAGGGGCTTGGCCTGAATCCAGGGGGGCTCAGACTGCATCCAGGGGACACACACCTGCAC